AAGACCCGGACCTGATTGATTTTACGCGAATGTGTTACTGTGAGCCGAGTGCGAATTCGCTACAAACAGTGAGTTTTTCTGCGGGTCTCGGATTCACTGATCCACATCCGTGGCGCGAATACCCGTAGAGATAAAACACCGCTCCGTATACACCAGGCTTAATGTTGTAACTACTGCTAAGCTCACCTAAATTAGCGACGTTCGCTCTCCTTTGGTCAAAAAAATTGGACATGTACAGAGAGCCAACTCCAAGGGAAAGACTAAATTCTGAGAAGAATTCGAAAAGTCTTAGAGCCGCTCACGACCGTATTGAGAACCACGCTGCAATGGTTGAGGACCTTGTGAAGGACTTGTGCCTTTTCTCCGCGGCTGCCTCTCGGCAAGCTGGTTTGTCGGCATCTTCAAGCCTTGAGCCGTTCTTGAGTGATGCGTGCGAGTAATGCAAGACGGACTCTTAGGGGCATAGGCTGCGTGTATGTAAATTACACCGACTTACGCACTCCTTGGCTACCCGCTAAACCTTAACGCTACCTCACGCACTTCATTGTTTTTGCCGAGCGACAGCGGCCGCAGCAGCAAGGCTTTTTTCGGTCGCAAACAACTTACTGCACCTTTATTAATTCGTACGAACAGTGATCCAACGAGGTCTGAATAACAAGTAAACCTACGAGTCGCCCAGCGGCACCATTAGCCCAGAACGTCTAACAAAATTACTTTGCTGGAACGTTGACTATGGGGGTTGTTCAGTGCGTTGATCAGGGAGGAGTATGATGTCCATCCATGGCGCCAGAATCAAGTGACGCCATCACGCGCTAAGTTTTGCGCCCCACTACCAGTTTTTTCTCCCTAAAACCAACTTGGTTCACTGTTCACGTATTCAGTTGCCCCGAAAGAAACGACGAAATTTTTTGCTGTAACTTTGCCCGCAGGCGTAATTCGGTGACCAGTCACGAATATAGCACTCGTTTGGCGCTGCCACCTTTCTCACCAAATTCGATGTCAATGCATTAGTAGGGTTACTTGATGTCCTGATCACGAATACCGCATTAGTTTTTTTTTGCCCTAGCGCCCTTTGACGCCATACTCTTTTTCATCACAATCGATAAAAACCTGCATAGTAGGGTTCTTTGGTGTCCTGATCACGAATGTGACATTCATATTGCGACAACAGCGCCATTTAGCGCTCTTCTGAGGGTGAGCCTGGGAGAGGGTGTGATTCCCTATAGGCCAGGCTCAGCCTTCAGTACAGCGTAGATGATCGTAGTGCCTTCACCACCACCAAAAATGAATGTGTCATTTGTAATCAAGATGCCAAATAACCTCCGCATACAAGTTTGCAGCGGATTTGGTGACTTAGGTGTTTTGGCGCCGGCGCCTGTGGCGCGGGTGTCAGGTGGTTTCAGGCCGGGCGGATGTGATTTTCGTGTTCAGTACCCCGGAGACAAACAGCGAATCTGGCGATTTGGGGCGACTTGAATAGCATAGTGAGGTTAGTTGATGTACTGGTAACGAATATGACACCCATCCTTTGCGCAGTTGCCATTGGTGCCAGATTGGTGCCGGCGCCAACTCGGAACCACCATCATTTCGAACAAAATTGAGAGAATAGTAACGAATGTAGTGGAGAAAGTCGTGGCGCAAAATCGGTGGCGGTGAACTCTCGCACCAAGAAGACCAGTGATGAAAATAAATCAGTTCGCAAATAATGCTAGCATGCAAGTTTATGCCGATTTTAAAGAGATAAGAATAGGTCACCATTTTGGTGCCGCATGGCGCAGGCGCCAAAAATGAATGTTATGAGCTTGAAATTGTATGCGAGTTGTTTCAGATTCAATGATAACGGCGACAGCTCCAAATTCCCTCCGTGTACCAAGCAAGCGGCGCATCCTTTTTCATCGAAATCTCGCATAACTGGATTGTTTGATGCCCTGATCATGAATATGGCATTTGTTTTTCGACGAAAGCGCCATTTACGCCCTTGAGCGCTCTTTAAGCTTGAGCCTGGCAGGAGGAAGTGATTCTCTTGAGGCCTGACAGAGCTTTAGCGGAGCGCGAATCATCGCAGTTTGTCCTCCATTAGGCAGCGTTCATACTTCGCGACAGCAGCGGCGATCGCCGCGATCGTCGGTACATGGCAGAGCGCGCCCCAACGCTATTACTTGCGCTCCGAAGGCTTTTGGGAAGAAGCGACTCAATTTCATGCTTTTTTCCTTTAACTGCAATTTTCTTAGGTACTGAAGCTTGGTTTGACACAAAGAAAGGTGAACCCAACTTAATGGCTTTTGTTTTCTATTTTCTTTCTTGATTCAGGATAGAAATGAGCAAAAAGCGTGAGAGCTTCATTTAGGGTAGGTTTTTATTGTTTCTTTTTTCATTCGTCGAGCTTATACATGAGGTTATAAAGTTTTCACCTGTTGATGTTGCGTAAAATGATTAGTGTTTTGGTTCCTAGGTGAGTTTCTTTCTGTTTCTTTTTTCTTCGTTGTTTGAACTCGACTTGTAAACTATAAATGTTTTGGAAGTTGGAACAGTTCAGACGATAGGAACTTTAAGGCGCTTGTATAAATTGAAACAATAAAAAAAGAAGAAAAAAAGCTCACCCAGGAAATGGAGCTGGCCTTATCCCGACCTAAAAAGATAAGGCCAGCTCCATTTCCTGGGTGTGCTTTTTTCATTTCCTTCCCTCATATTCCAGATCCGCTTATGTATAGAAAGTCGTAAGTTATCAGTTAGTAGCCATTATTAAGAGAAAAGAAGGTCTCACAAGTTGGATTCCCTTATTTATCAAGCGAGCGGTCCATAATAGCGTTGGGGCGCGCTCTGCCACGTACCGACGATCGCCGCGATCGCCGCTGCTGTCGCGAAGTATGAACGCTGCCTTAGCGCCAGCGTTAACGAACGATGTCATATTCGTAACCAAGATGCTCCCCATTTGTTCTCGGTGTGTAGCGATTCGGGTATCTAGAGCGCCTGCGACGCAGGCGCCAGCTTTGCGCTTAGCCAATGAGAAATTCGTGTTCCAGGAGGTCGAATTACCTCTGGAAGCGAGTTTTCAACCAAATTGGCCTAGTTAGAAAAAGGTCGGTGAAAAACTGGACTGTTTTCGGAGGGTTGGGATAGTAATAGTTGAATGGAGCCGCAAAGAGAAGTTAGTGACGAGAAGCTTTCATCAGTCTGATGGTCGGAAATTCTATGTGATGTTACAAGTATTTAGAACTAAGCTTCCCTTTGCTTCTTTGGCGGCGCTATCATCAACAAACCCTCGCAAAACATTAAAAGTAGGCGCGAGGTACGTAAGGTTCACGGTAGAAAAGGAGCGCGCAAGTGGTGTAATTGCATACAGCAGCCCATGCGCTGGGTCCCTCTTGCATTACTCGGTGCCGTCAAATGCCGCGCTTACTCCAATTTGCGTTGGCAAATCAATAGCGAGGAATTTTGATGTAAACTCTGGGACTGCACTTCCATAGAATAATCACACTTTTTCAGAATAGACACATATATGCCATACAAGAACACTTTTCGAAAGCACCAAGAATTACATGCTTGTCTATTTCCATACCGATGCGGTTTCTACAGATGTGGGATGGGCAGCTCAATGGAGTGCCAAGTCAGTCCTTTTTCACTTTGGACCACAACTTTGAACACTTTTCAGTAACGCTTATTACTCCGTTTGAACGCGGTTTAATGTTGGTTGAGTCGAATTATTTTGTGGGAATGTGATCAGCTAAGCCCGTAGTCGCAGATGTTGTATTTTGGCGAGTATAGCAGAAGTACAGGGGGAGGGGGGCAAAAAAAAGACACTTTTCTTCCTTGACTTTCGAGGCGCTATAAGTTACACTTTATTAGATTCTGATCGGACATTTCTACATCCATGATACTCCGCCACAGCCTTCTTTACGAGCGCCATCGAGAGATGCTGCCACGTGAGTGGGTGCCTGAGTTCAGCGAGATCGTTGATTTCTCCGCCACTGTAGACCACCCTATTGAACTCCGCCCGAACCAGGTAATTGAGGGGGTTTAGGTCAGGTTACCTGCTTAGATATTCCACCTTATTCAGGTACTCAACGCCCTTCCATTCCAAGTAGGCAAGAGTTTTCCCAACGCCCTGATTCCATGTGGTGTCACCCAATCCTGTAGCAGTACAAGTTTTCCAAATAGGTAAACTACGGGCGTTTGTGAAGGGGATATTCTTCTCGATGCTACGATGCAACGCTAGCGCTCTCCTTTACCGGAGTCCACGTAAGAAAATATCGTTTTCCATTCCAAGTACGTCGTCCATACCACAACCGCGCGCCTGGCGACTGTGGTGGAGATGATGTCCTAGACCGTAGCGACGTTCTCGGAGCTGCTCGATGATGGAGGTCATCCAGATCGAGAGTACTGGTCTCCAGGTAGCTATCCATGGGTGACTCCACACTAGAAGTTTCGCAGCTGTTTGGAGGTGACATGAATTCCAAAGGTCTTCTCAGTCAGGCTGCGACTGGAGATGACTTCATATTTTGGTTGTACATGAAGTGACTGGGCGAGCCGCCATCTTACTGTGAGGAAGTATCTTATGATTTCCCGCCCTGGTACTCGTATCCACGTCCTCCGGTCTGCCTCGGGCTAGCGTAAAACGTTTGCTGATATGTGACTCGTCGAAGTGTCTTTTTTGGCCCCCTGTATTTCTCCCGTTACTGCCTAATCTCTAGTCCACGCTTTCAGCATGATTGCTACAAGCCGGCGGTTGCTGCCAACGTTATTGGTGGAAGGACTGCAAGAGGACATGCGGCCACACCCCACTCAGTTCTTGCACATATGACGCTGGCAGCAACCGCCCGCCCCAGCCGCCGTGCCCAGTGCTTTCTGGGCTGCAGTCATACCATAGTAAACCCGCTCGATGACATGAGGTTCATAAATAGATTTTTCCATCAACCAGTTTCTTTTAAGATCAGATGCTCCACCAATCATTCAAAATGGTACGAGTGGTGAGATGAGCTCTCCCAACTATCCCAACAACTATGGTACCTTTTTGGAGCAAATGTACTTTATCAATGCTGATGGAGACACAACGGTATGGCGATTTTAGACGTTAAGGTACATCTTATGTACCTCTCTAGGCTAGGGTGGAGTGGAAGAGTGCTAGAATTGGAGAGCTATCTCTAGCTGACGTTGATTTCTCTTCAGTCTTCCAGCCACTAATGGCCCTGCTGTTCACCTACAGTATCATTTACGTACAGGTGCTAAAGTGGTTGGGTGCCAATCGCAGTCTAGGCGACTAACCTAATTGCGGTAGGGGGAAACACTCGGGTGCGCCTCTGTATCCTTTTCTTGACAAGGTTCAGGCTTACAGAGCAGACGATCAGAGTCATCGAGTCTTATGGTCAGTCTCAGTCTTGCAAAGGACACATAATCTCAACTAAGCCTATGCGTCGATTAGGGATAGGATACAGAGGCGCTGCAGAGTGGTTCCCTACCAACTACATTAGCACAGGCCACAACCATTACTGCCTGCATCCTCTCCTGCTTCAACAAGACTAGCTGAACACTATTTCGTTGAGAGGACGCAGACGAGCAGACGCGTGGCATGGTCTCGCTGCCGTTGCCAACTGCTAATCGCTCAAGTACCTTGAACAGGGCACATCGTTGTTGGGGAATACCCAACAGGGGGTTGTTGGGGAATACCCCACAGGGGGTTGTTGGGGAATATTCAACCGGGGGGGGGTCGTATTTGGCCCCCATGAGAGGAGGAGATGTATCTGGGCTGAGAAAGATTGGTTTTGATAGTTGAACTTTCTCGCTTCACGAAAGTTGTAAAAGGGGGGGGGCGGGCGCGGTAAGTACTTAGCTACTGATGGGAGGGGTAGGGGTCGTCTTTGCTTTCTGGCTTTTCTAGGAGTGAAGCTAGTGGTGGTTGACTTGTCATGATCCTCCTGTTCTATGCTCACTATAATACCCACCTCCCCCATGGCTTGGCAAGGCAAAATTTTTGGAAAAGTAGGGAAAGTTTTGCGGAGAAAAAGTGCAGGGAGTATGGGGGACATCATGAGGATTGGAATGGGCGGGTGAGAGTTCTTATTTTCTCCGCAGGATTTTTCTTGGTGATCGCACATGATGTTATTACCCCTCCTCCCGCCCATCCCATGCCACTCGAGCGACTCGATTTATGAGGAGGGACAGAGAAACGGAGGGAGGGTCGTACGCAACCCCCCCCCCTTTCAAAGAAGGGGGATCGTTACAGATACGACTAAAATCTGCAACCAGTGATGTGCCCTGACCTTGAAACCTTACATGTGAACTCAAGTAATAAGAGCTTTAACACAGTAGTTATTATTCCAGATATTTGCCATGTTTGACACCTTCCGAACTGAAGCAAACTTTGATTACCTTAGAAATCTATGACGGTGGCGATATGCAGTCGAAACTTCTCGCGAAGTGGGTTTCTTTGCTTATTTTCGGGCAGATACCCTTTTTACGTGAGCATGTAAAGTTACTGCAAGATGAAGTGATGATTGTTGTGATTGCTGGTCTTGTAAAAGAAGGGATTTCTTTGGCAGCGCCTCTGTGTCCCTTCTCCTAACCATGGCATAGAATTAGTGGGGACTGCCTTCTCTTCAAGACTATCCTTTGACGACTCTGGCCGTCTAGGCTATGAACCTAACCGTTCATCAATGGGAGTTGAGGGCATAGCAGGGGGTTGCCCCTCGCCACCAGCCCCTCCCCTGTCATCACATTGATGTTTTCTTTCGCGTTATCAACCGATAGTCAGTCATAAGTCACAAACAGTATTTCATGGCCTATTTTCCGCTTTATATTCCACGGAATTTGTCGATGACGAACAGACACCTTAACTGTTTTCCTGTCTCCTGCACTCAGTTGTGGTTCATTGAGCTGCAGTCATTCGCGACTCGGCGTTTCGTGGGAATCAGAGCGAAGCTCCAGCGTTGTGAGTGAAACGAATCGCTCAAAGCGCCGATTCGCTTAAAACGCTTAGAACGCTGATTCTCCCGAAATATCGACACGCAAAGTATTAATGCAGCCCGACAGTACTGCATGCGCTGGTTGTAGTTAAGGGCAGGACCAAGCGCACGTCGCAAAACCCGCGGTGTGAAGGGTCGTATGTGACATAGGAGATGTGGTCGTCCGCCCACGTGTCAGCATGGGTAACATCGTGGGTGTAGCATCTCCATCGCAATGGAAATCCTTCCAGTTGATTCAGTGTGAAGAAAGCGCATGTGTTATCTGCAGCGCCTTAGGAAGATTTTACTTGCTCCTCAAAGATAATGGTAGATACTGGTCTCTCCCCCTCCGGCCCTCTGTTCCCTCCTCATCGAATCAAGCCGTCGAGAAAGGGGGGGGGGGGGTAAAGAGTATAGGCGACCCCACCCAACAATGAGCAAGTACGACCCCCACTTTATCAGAGAAAAAAATGCAACTATGCAAAATAAATTTTTCACAGCCAATACGACCCGCCCTCCATGTTGAGGGAGGATTCCCGCCAACAACTGATGTGCCACCTTGACTGGCACTGCAACCAACATGGGCTCTTCGAATTCCTCTGGCCTTTTTTAAACAGGAAGTCAGTAACAATCTGATTCGCATAAAAGCACAATGCGTTTTGTCGCTGCTTCATTCAGCCACCGATGCAGTCGCAATGGTGCTGAAGTTCGTCGTGCGTGTTTACCGTAATCCTAATTCCGTACACAGAGTTGTCGATATTATGTTGTTGTTCATATTCCCTACTTTTTGTTTCAGTGTTTTTTTTTCTGTTTTTTTTTCCTCTAAGGTAGGATAGTATAGTAGTGATACCTGGAAACGATAAGGCGTTGGACGGCGGTGGGGCTTGGAGCGCTGTCAGGGCAGGCTTATCACCTTTTGTAGGTGACTGATTCAGGATGACGTTATTTTTGGAACGAGGCGCCCTAGCTGCGCTTCCAACCGCAATGGTAAGCAACCGCGCCCACATGATCAGCAATTTGGATACAAGTAATTGGTAGCATAAATGCGAGGAACGGATGGGCGCTGTTTGGCGACGGGGGGGGGGGGGGCATTTTGCACTTTAACGACTTCCCATCGACGTGTCGACCCATCTAGACAGCCTCTTCTCGAGTTGACAGGTTTTACCATGATGGCTTGAGATTGCAAAATCCCCCCCCCATCGGCATACTGCGCCGAAACAATATGTGAGCGAGGGGTTGTACAAAAGTCACAGGGTGTCGACTTGCCACAGAGCCCTGAGGTTTCGTTCCATGAGGCTGTGTCGTTGTCGCGAATGGCTTTTTACTTGCCTCATTTTTGCTTTCTTTCTAGTAAAGAGTCTCTTGTCGAATGGTTCATAATTTAGCGCCTACTACCCGTAACATTTGACGGCTAATTTTTTGATGGGTGTGGAACCACCGATAAATCTGTTGTACCTGTTTTCAGCTTCTCTGGAGCTAGCTTACCGGAGAACACCTTGAAGACGAGCGGCAATCAGATGACGATGCGTTTCATCACCGATGGTGCGATGCAGTACTTCGGATGGCACATGATTTGGAACACTAATTAATATTCAAATAATAGTGCAGAATAAATATTGTTCTCATAAGTGGGTGTAATGCTCTTCACAGTCACAGAACCAACCGGTGGCGTTTCTACCACTGGTTTCTACGTGAACCGGCCACTACTGGTCAGAAATGCAGTCGCGGGTGGACTCATTCCATGCCTCCTGGCAGCGCCCAGTCGGATTGCGACGTTCTCAGGATACATGTTCTCACGCTCATTCTGTTCCAAGAGCATATGCGGGGTAACCTCCTGGATT